ATCTGACGTGACATGTTCGTACGAACCCTTTGTACGAACAAAAGTAAGAGAAATTTAGGATAAGAATATGAACATGTTCTTGAATGAGGCCCAATAAGTCTTGTCCACCTTTAGTGCACAGGTTATATTATTTCATGGTGTCTGAAAATGCTGTATTAAATTCAAAATGAATTTACATTTTTTTAAATGAAAAGTGGATAAAACATGAGAAAAACCCCAAAACTGTATTTGAAAATAAATAAATAAATTAAAATTGTGTAGAAACCCTGTACAGCAGTCTACTGGATGAGATGATCATGCTTATTTGGAGAGTTGATGCGAACGTTGTCACAGCTGGTTTTCATAGCTGTCTGCCTTTAGAGGAAAACATCTACCTGTAGAATTATTGCTCTAATTGTCAGGAATATTAACTGCTGAATTCAGTATTAAAGATGTTTACATCTTCGGATGCATATGCAGAAAGTCATCTGCTTTTTGTTTAAACCTCATATTAAAGCCCACATTTGTTTAGTGAATAGGAAAGATAAATAACTCAGGTAGACTTTACAAACCACGTCACACTTTGAGGAATGCTGTCTTTGGATATGTGTTGAATTTTTTCTGTGTTCAAATTGAGCAAACACAAAGATGAACAATCACATCTTACCTTATAAGCAAATAAAAAAACATAGTTATTCAAAGCAATGTTTCTTTTTTTAAAGCTCTTTTTTCTGTATTTGCTTTGACTGTGAAGCGCTGACATGCCAATCAAACCAGCAGAGGCCAACAGTAACAGCTGTTTCACTGAAAGGTCGAGCAGAAGTGTCAACATCTCGCCGACACGTCAAACAGACTTTACAGATCAGACTGAAGCACGAAGCGTTTGTTAAAGTCTGGCACGTGTCATAATAATGATTTGTAACCAAAACCAACACATAGCTGGTATAAACCGTGAAGATGATGGTAGCTGTTTAAAAGACGGATATTAAAGAAATAATATATTTTCGGTTTTTGTCTTTGACACGTTTTCTTCTCATTTTTCTTTATTTCCCGCAAGGGTTTATGATCTTAGTTGAGTTTGTGAGTGTGTTACATAATGTCACAAGAGCTATTATATGTTTTTTTTTTTGGTCTGAGCTGCATTATTGAAACAAAAAAAAAGTTCTAAAAGTTGAGCTCAGAGTCATTTTATATTACAGAGGTCTCCGTGGGACATTTACTTGCAGGTCATTGAAGAGATGCTGAACAAGAACATGTTTTATTTCTTTTTTTAGTTTTATAAGTTCTATAAAGTGCTGCTGTAATCCTCCTGCTCTGTTTGTATGACTTGGCACAAGATGTGAGAGCAAAGTGCTAAGCTCCAAAGTGACTCTTTCTCTGTGAGAATCATTCCTTTCACAGATGTCTGGATTAAAAAAAATGCTGTATTTGACTTCTGGCAGTCATTGCATTTGGCGTTTCTTTAGTGGTCTTTTAAAAAAAATCCATGTCAATATCAAAAGAAGACTTTAGACAGCACATTCCTCAGTCTGCTCACATTCTTTGTTCTGTAGGTCCTCGCCTTAAATCATACAATGTTCTTTGAAGAAACTGTAAATTAAACAAGCCTGGTAATGAAACGTCATAAATCAGTTTAAAAAAGAAATCAATCAGTGTGAGCTGGTGAAATGAAATGGATTTTTTAAAATTTATTTGTAGTTCATACAGAACCTGAGAGAAGAGGTAAAGTTGGGACTGCATGTGAGGAAAGTGTGAAGGCAGGAGAGAAAGAAAGAGGAGGACCTTTAATTTAGTTCTGTTAGATGGGAGGGTGAAACAGAGGAGATGGAATAAGGAAGGCAGAGAGAATATTTAACTTAATATTCCAGCCTGGACATTTTCACTGGATACTTTASATAAAACAGTTCATGTTCTGAACATTTTGTGAGAAGCAATACTCCAGAGGCATGGCTCTGGTATCAGGATGGTGGATTGTCTTTCTGGTGCTCATTAAAGCAATGGCTTGTCTGACTGAAAACTATCCGTACAGCTACTATAGACGGACCTGCTATAGGCCTTACTGTTATCATGGATACCATAGATACAACTTTGGCTACCTGACAGCAGGTGAGTAATAATTTAGTGATTCAGCAGTATTATCTTCTTGTTTTATTGTTTATTTATAATGTAAATCTGATTTTAGACTCTATATGCCTCCTTGAACAAAATGAGCAGAGAATTTTAAAAAATAATAAATGTTTGAGTATCAGTCACCTGGAGGCAGGACTCAAAAGCCTGAATTTTGCCTGAAACTCTCAGACTGAAGTCTCTTGGAAGAGAGACGAAACGTTTCATTAGAGAAGAACCCGTCCAGAGGACCTATACAATTTTTTTTCCTTTTGATTTTTTACCTGGATTACTGAGATGCATCAGGACAAATAATAAATGTTTATTTTATTTTTTCTTATAGTATGGCTATGCTCACAAAAAAGCATGATGAAACATCATTTTTTTTATTATTTTATGTGTCAATAGATTTGGTTAGCATTAGCTTTTAGCAAGTGTTCTGCTTCTTTTAGCCTTAACTCAGTTCCAAAGTTATTCAGCTCTCAGCATTCACTCTGTATTTTTGCTGAAAATCCTTTTCTTGTAGTTATTACTACATTGCTGCTATTCCTTCTGGTCTCAAATGKGATTTTTGGAGAGAAAAAAACTATTGTACACAATAAACACTTGCAAATTGACATGCAATATCTTTTTTTTTTCCGTGGAGTCATCTCTGGGGTTTGGGCAGAGCATTAATGGACCTGACATGAAAGCCAGCGGCTGCTGAGGTTTTGGCTCGACTTTGGCAGAGATCATGTTCTGAATGGGGAAACTAAGCTGGAGCTGCAGCCGACAGAGGAACAGCAGCTCTGCAGCGTTGTTCTCATTACACAGAAAACCAAACCAAAAACCGGCATGCTCCATTGATGGAAAACTGAACGGATGGCTTCTGCCAGCTTTCCTGGGTGAAGTGAAGCCGACGTTTGGCAGCAAAAGAGACCAAGAGGAGGAAAGTTTAGCCGTCTGTTTTTGCTCCAAAACAATATATTTTAAGATGCTGTTGGGTAAAACCGAGAAGTTTAGCCAAAGGTTTTACAGGAGCCGTTATGAATCTAGATTTAGTGCTGGTCCTTTATGCTTATGTCCTGCATTTTTATCTAACTGCTGACCATTTTATTATGAGGAGCGCTCTTTGCTTTTTTTAATCATAGTCCCATAAAGATTTTATATTACAGCCCAATGTTTTCTTCAGTTTCTGCTGTTACAGACTGAGCCTTACACTAACTATGATTTATGTCAAAAAATGAAGCCACATGCACTTGAAAACCTTTAGGTTTACAAATTTACAAGCAGTAATGCTTCAATCCCACACAAAGTGATAAAAGTCCTGTGGATGCCAAGTTTTTTTCTATGTAACAAAGACTCTCCTGTCTACATTTATGTCTCACTGGAGACCATAAAGGATTGTCTTTGCTGCCATAATCAATATGGTTCTTCAGTGAAACTTGGCAAATTGAAGTAATGAGTCCACTTTTATTTAGTTTCTGTTTGTTCCCCTCTCTCTGGCTTTTGGTTTGTAGTTTCTCACACAAGGATTTAATGCACACTGTTTGTTTTAATTGGATTTTTTTGGCCATTTTTAAAAAAATCAGTGTCTAAAGAACAAATATATTTGGTTTGCAGCACAGTATTTTATTTCCTCTCAACAAGACAAACAAAAACAATTTGATAATGATTTATTTTTCCTTCAGTAGTGATGATAATCAGCTCATTCACAAAACTTTTATTTAACTTTTTTTTTTGCACCAGACCTTTAGTGAATTCTTGAAATAGTTTCCTGCTGAAAGAAGCTGCCTGAGGTCAGGACTGTTCTGCCCAACACACCTCACACCAGACTGACTAACAGTGTTTTATGAAGTGTTAGCTGTTTTTACAGACACCAACCAACAGCTACGGCATTTTCTTACCCACTGTTTTTATGCATCACAACACTTATTGCAGTCATTCCATCCACAGCGATCACTTCTGCAGCTCTGGAGCAAACGGGGGGACGTGTTGTCACCAGTGTGAAGTTGAAGCGGTTTGACTTAATGTCCTAATTATCTTGGACTCTAAGTCCAAACAGAGACCAGCTTCATAAATCAGCTCAGATCTCACAGGGGGTCCGCTGCGGAGCTCTCAAACAATGTATTAGTCTTTGACCCCTGAAATTAGTGCTGTCTAGGAACGTGGTTTGTTTGATTAGAAATCTGGTCACACAGCGAAGGCATCGGTTTCATTTACCAYGACTTTCCCAGATAAAGAGCCCGCTTCTCTTATTTGTTTACGCTCAACACCCTCGGTAGGGAGGAATRTGTATGTTTCGCCTCCTTCGATTCAAGCTTCCATATGTTTGCTCACGCAGGGGGCTCTGACAAGAGCTGCAGGAATTTWAATTTGGTTTTAAGTGTTCAGTAGTTGTTGCCATACGGGGGAAATGTTTGTTTGAGCTGCAAAGAACTTGTAAAACAGCACCACTGCTCTTCTCATCCATCATCTCCTTCCTGCCAGGGGTGCATCTTCATCCATCCTGCATTAATAAAACACTGTCTGCAGCTCATTTGAGCCTCATTTATTTCCTAAAGATTACATTTAGTCAAATTGCACTCATGTCTTTCCCACTTATTTMTGTTYGCCTCCTTCRTCTCAGATATTGATGAATGCCAGGYCCATAATGGAGGCTGCCAGCACAGATGTATTAACACCAGGGGCTCCTACTACTGTGAATGCCTCCCCGGCTCTCGCCTTCACGTGGACGGACGCACCTGCCTTTGTGAGTAAAAGTTTCAACTTTACAGTAATGATTGCTTTATGAAAGCTGCAACCATGTATTGAAAATGAATGCCAGAATCGTGGAGTCGTGTTGTTTTTATAAGTGGATAAATATCAGTAAGATAACTGCCTAAAAGCACCGAATGGAAGAAAAATGTCAAATCAGCTCAAGTTACATCCATTGCAATCTGGTAATGGTATAATTTGTGGTCTTGTCCCTCATTTAATCCAATTAGGCCTCAATAGGAAGCCCTTCAGTGGCTCTTTGAAATGTAACCTCACTTCTCAACACTCACAAAAACAATGGAACACTGTTTTGGAGGAATTTGGCTTCTGGAGGGTTTTGAAACTATACCCAGTTATCATTTCTTGATGATTTTGCTGAAATAAACCAACATTTTTGGCAACRTTTTTGAACTCATTTGAACCACACTGATAAATGTTGCAGACAAGCACTTTAACTGGGACAGGAAGTGTTATGTTTAATAAAGTTATTTTCTCCTTTTGGCAACAACATCTTTTAAAGGTTGTTACAACTAATGATAGTTTTCTTTTTATTGTCATTTGGTTTATGTGTCTTATTATTAGCTGTTTATTACAGTGAGATTTAAGACAACATCTAGGCAGCAGTTTTGTCACTGTTGATGTAATAGTTTGAGATTTTTTGGCCAGAGTGCAATAAAAAGTGTATAAATGTGGTGCTGGCTTCAATCAGGAATGTATTCTGCRTGTCCTGAATGAGGTTTACAGTGTAAAATATTATGTTATTCTTGGAATCCGGACGCAAAGTTGTAAGTTTGTCTTAGAGAATACAGTGTGCAAGGACCCAACAGTTCCTGGGAGGCTTTTGTGTGACAGCTGTTGGATAAAGAAATAACAGATTGCACCAATATTAACTGACTGCAGGTGAAGTCACCACCTATTTGAAATCATGCTGTTCATATGGGAGAATACATTTCTTTTCTTGCTTTTTCTAACAAACAGACCGAGTCTGAGCTCTGCAGKTCACCTGATCGGCCTCGTTGAGGTCAGCTGGATCCCACACACTTAGCGTGTAGCTGCATAATATTTGAGCTGGAAAGCTCTCTGTGGTTTGACGTGTAGTTGAGATGGATGGATCTTGACTCCAGCTTCTGAGTATGAATAACACAGTCTTTGTTTGGCTTCTACCTGTTTTTTTTTAAAAAGACCCATCTGTTGCTTCAAAGAGGAGAGAAAGTCAGGCCAGGGCGACCCCTGAGCTCACATTGCACTCAGGCTCATCAGTGTACGAGTGTGGATCCACTGTAGAYGCCCTGTCAATCACACGTCTCTGTTCATTTTGGCTTTTCATTGTGACGGATCACTAATAGACTTGAGCATTACAATTGTCTGAGGTATTCTCCTAATATCTGTGGGAATATCAGAGTATCGTGGCCTCTTTCCATTTAGTCTCTTTAAAAKACATGAACCTGATTTGTTTCTTCAAGTCGCCTCATTGTTTTTCTCTCTGACTTTGCATCTTAAAAGCTTTGGCATTTTGTTACAGTCCCCCCCGACTTTTTTTTGTCTTTTGCATTTCCAGCTGTCCATACATGTGCCATCAGAAATGGGGGATGTGAACACTATTGCGTGCAGCAGTCTGCTTCTCATTTTCGATGCCGCTGCAAGCCAAATTACGTGCTGGCAGAGGATGGCAAGCACTGTATATGTAAGTGCCCATGTTTCCAAAGTCTTTAATAAACATCAACAAAAAAAATGCAAAAGGGAAAAACAGAGATTGAATGTCTCAGTGAGGACAGAGAGCCAGTAAAACAGAACTGTGGAAGATTAGAAAGGTGTGACTGGAGATTTAATTTAAAAAAAACATTAAATAAAAACAGCGGCGTCTTTTGCTGCCAGTTATAATTATCTGTCAGGATGTCTGAGCTAAAATATGATTAACCATCACTCAAGGGATAGACTCTTTTATTTTTCTCTCAATAAGTGTACCCATGCCCCTGCATCTTTTCAATCTCTCCAGTCTCTGAAGCTGTGCATCCAAGTACGGTTCTACAAAGATGTGGGAAATTATACTTTTTGTGCCGTCTTTTAAATGACTRTCTTTTCAAATGCTTTTACTTTGTAATTGTTGGCTCGGAAACAGCTTCCTCTCATTTTTGCAGAGCTGAAGGTTCTCATTGCAGACGCCAGACAGGCTTGCACATGTCAAACGTGCAGCAAACTGTGCACAGAGAGAGAGAGAGAGAGAGCGAGAGAGAGAGAGAGAGAGAGAGAGAGAGAGAGAGAGAGAGAGA